AAAGCTAAGCAAACTTTTTCTTTCTATAGTTGACAGACAGGTGTCGCTAGAAATCAGTCGTTTTTCATAACACAAAAGTCATCTATGTATAATAAAGCTTACAGAATATAGATAATCTATCATGGAAAATCCATCAGAAATACTTGCAGCCTACCTTCAGATCTTCAAAGAATGTCCAGAAAACCTTTTAGCTTTATGAAGTGAATGACCTATTGAAAAATTTTCTATGAGAACCGTCTCAACAAAATGCGAAATTTTTATTTTTTAAATGAACGCTGAAAAACGCGTTGATTTTATAGAAAGAAGTGGAAAAAATGTGATTTTTTCAAAAACGATTAGAAACACAGAAAAACATTGCCATTTTCCCTAAAAGAGAAAATCCGTTTTTTTTAAACGCTGCTAGAGAAAAACGCATTGATCTTCGTTTGATTTTTGGTCGTTTCGGTCTTGCTNGCTTTTTTTCCCTATGCATCAGCAAATATTATTTCGGTCATCGTTTTGAATATGTTCTCTCTCTTGTAAAAAAGTATGGGGTGAGAGGCATACGTAATAGTTGTATGTCATTATAGGGTAGGTATCAAGTACTAGCTACCCTGAAAAAATCAGTTTTATCTCTTCTCATTCACGAGAAAAACGAAATGTATGTTTTTCACGTGTATAAGTTCTTGAACAGTCAAAAAATTACATATCTACAAAACGAAAAGTTCGGGAAGCCTAAAAGTTTGAATGCATAAGTTTTCGAACATGCTCTACAAGATGAGACTACTTAGAAAAAAAATCTGGAATAGTCATTGAACTTGGCTTGTCGTGGCTTATGTGCAATGGCTTATAAGTGACGAAACGATCAAACTTATTTCCACCACACTAACGCGATTTCCTTCATTAAAATCGTCGACATTAAATGTAGCTGATGGAAGAAGTTTTATCTACAAACACACCATCGTCTATTAAACATCTAACAATTGATTCAAATGGAAGCAATTTTCATCAGTTCTTTTAGTTCACAACACTAGTGAAAAGTCTAAATGTTAAAACAGTATATAGTTCAGATTTCAAGACTCTTAATACAACATTACTACCGCTAACAAGTTTGACAATCAAAGTTCCTGAAATGTGTGGGAATGATCTTTCTCTTTTATTTCTACTAATGCCAGACTTGGCGTATTTAATATTTCCTGCAGAAGGTGAAATATATATTAATGGTTATCGTCGGAAACTACTATAAACAGTATTATACTATCATCAACGAAATCCAGTTTATATTGTCTATATTTCTAACTGGCAAATACTGGTTTTTCACCAACAAATGTAGCGAATGGACCTTTATTGGACTATCGATCAAAGTAACAAGATTTTGGAATAAATGTAACTTATATTATTAAAGATGTTCAATAGTGTTTACTTCATTCTCTTTTCATTTATCTGTCACACAGTATTCAACGTTTTTCTGAAACGTCTCATTATAGTCATATAATAATAACTAAACGAGTCGATTCCAGATGGAAATTATTCCATATTCGACATAATTATTATTCAGCTTTAATATCAACTCTTAACAAAAGGAAGAAACAAGTGGAGAAAAAGCGTTTATTCTATGAATAGTTGCACCAAAGTTACGAAAAGACCAAGAGAAACTGCATTAATTTCATAATTACAGCTAATTTTAGAATTTTATTCTACAAATCTTGATATTTCAACCATTCATGGTCATTATCAAAAGTGAAAATGTACACACAAAAGAATTAACTTTTAAATTATATATGATGACGAACACAGCTAACGTTACTATACTATACAACAAGAACTAGTACTACACGTGTCAATCTTTCAACCTTTCTTATATCAAGCCACATGTTTTATATGCGGATTACTGTATGTATGGAAAAGTTGTCATCATGTGAAAACGAGAATAAACGAACTTATCTGCGACCAAAATAAACTTTTTCTTGGTCACGAGAAAAATACATCGAGATCAACTGTTTCAAAAGGGTTCGAAATAAGTAATTCTACGAAATGTACTGCAGGCATTCTGACACTTTTAAGACCAGGTAAACTTCCTCCTGCGATGAAAAAGTTAGATAATTCTGAGCTTAATGAGTTACTGGCTACCCAGACATTGTTAAAAGATAATCCAAATCAAATGATACTGGCAAAGTCGGCTATTGATAGACATTATCAAGCGACTGAACATTTGATACACACCAAATGATTTTGAAATTCTTACTAGTAAACAACACAAACACAAATTGTTAATAAAAGAATCGTTGTTGATACGATCACAAGAACCAATACTAAGTAGTACAGATCGTTCAGAACCATTATACGTCTATGCTGACGGTCTTGATAAGAAAATTAAAATTAAAAGATTTGATGACAGAAGACTGATTCTATCGGACAGTCAATGATTTATGTTTTTTTCATCCCTCATTTATAATGTCAAGATGCATATATAAAAGAGAAGAAGGGTTGAAGAATGACACATGTACCCTGTAATTTGAAATTAATTTCCAGTTTATAGAAAATCGATCTGGAAAATTGTGCAGCTTTTTCTGATATTTATAAAATGCTCGTAGATTTCTAAAAAGTTAGATGATTAGAAAGAATCCTAATTTTCGATTTTCTATAAATTGACTTTTCATTTTATTCAGAAAATCACCAATTTTTTTTATTTCTTTTCATTTCCAAAAATATGAAAGTCGGCGTTGATTTTCTAAATACTAAAATTCGAGTTTGATTTTCTAATATTCTAATATATCGATCGATTATCTATAAATGATTTCCAAGATTCTTGAAATTCGAAGTCGATTTTCTAAAATGCAATGAGTATGGCTGAAATTGATCAATGAGCGAGTCAGTGTATTACTGCAGCAGCTTTAATGGCTGTATATGTTTCAATAACAGTTATCCGAATAATACGAAAATGAATCTTCAAACAGTCAGTGCTGTTCTTTTTAAATCAAGAGATTTTAATTTGTCACTTGGTTCTCAACATTTTCTAGAATCAATAAGTTTAGAGAAAATAAAATATCTGTTAAGTGTGTACAAGATAAGGTTAGAGTAAGATCTAAATAATAATCACCAAATGAACAGATACTGTTTGACCTTATTGTCTTTGTACCAATCAAAACACAAAACGCAAAACGATTTATATTTCTTAAAATGAGTATGCTCATTAGCTGTTGGCGTTCCTGCGTCATTTAAGACACACCATTCTATTCCTATTTCCAAATTTCCAAAAACAAGCTCTCGAATGTTTCAGCTTTGATGACGAGTTCAGTCAAAGTTTTTCATCAAACTCGACCCATTGCAGTTGAATACAAGAAGAACATGAAATTGAAGGAGTGGAGCTTATTTCATCTTGATAGAGTGACACAAGAGAAAGACACAACAATTGATTGTAAATGATTCGCGTGATTCGAAAAATAACGAGACGTGAGAGTCTCGTTCTTGTACACGCTTCAGTAGGAAGATGACAACGTTTCTTCAGGTTTGCCGACCACTGTAAAGTCATCTTTTGCTCGTGATATTTCGGGATAAACTACATAAAAATTACAAGTCGATCACACTTTATAGGGATGCTATTTGTATTAATAGAAGAGATGTGGGATAAAAGAACTGACACTATTAGTATTTCGCCAGTATATTGTTGATTTTGTGGAACTCACTATAAAAAAGTAAGTGTAAGTTTGCATCAGAACTCCAGCTACTCTCTTGTCCGTCTAAAAGAAAGATAAAAGGTCAAAGGCACATGCGAGATCTTCGAGATTTTTTGAGAAGCGACAATAAGATCTGAGACATATGATAAAAATCAATAGCAAGAGTATTTGAAAGGTTGCGTGTGAATTCGAACATCGCATTGAGAAAAAAAAGATCCACATTACACAGTAGGCATTTTTCGCTAGGGCAGGCGGACATTAACCTTATAAGTAGACTGAAATTCTCTAAACCACTTTCTATAGGTTTTCGACGATTCTCTTTCCAATGGAATAGTTTTCCAGTGGGTTTTCCAGAGGGTTTTCCAGAGACCGGATTTGTGGAAAACCTTTGAAAAACGTTTTTAAGCTGAAAAACCATTACATTGGATAGAGCATCGTCGATAACCTATAGAAGCAGTTTTTCAGACCTTCCACGGTTTCTCTCTTGAATTTTGAATTTTCAGCGGAAAGTTCTTCGTGTGAATCCCAAATCTAAGAAATTTATAGAATTCAGAACAGAAGAACCGAATTCAGGTGAATTATATACCATCCTTGCAGTTTTTCACGGTGATTCCGAATATATATATATTATCTAGAAAAAAAATGTTTTTGAGTGCGAAAAGGTCAGTTAACCTTAAAAACCGAGGGATTTTGGAAAACCAATATCTCAGTCCAGGAAAAATGCGCATTTTTGCGTATTCATCATAATTTTGGATTGATCTCTCATAAGATACTTTTTCCATGATGTCTTTTAAAAGAGAATGGTTTCTTCTATCCTTTTCCAGCATTTAAAACTTTTTATGAGTATTTACTTTACTAGTTTCGAGCTTTTTGGAGAAAAAGTTTTTAAAGAGGATGTTGAAAGATTTTTCCATAAAGTTTTGACAATATTTTTGATAGAGCTACAGCTCTCTCATGAAGAACTCACTCTCGTAAAATTGTTGATGAGTCATAGAACGATTTCAAAATGTTGTTACTGAAGCTTATCAATGAGAATTTTTGTTGCAAGCGGTAAAAGTCAACATAAGATAAGGTGTGTTTGTGCGCAAAAAAGACTATCTTGCTGTTCTTGTATTCTACCTTTTCTTTTGCTTTGAGTTGCACTATAACATTGTCATGAAGCTCACACTGTTGTTTTCTCTCTTTGCCTGTGTCTTGATGCCTTCACTGGCGAATCCTAACAATATTCGCATCTCTCGATCTGTGCCTTCTCTGTTTACTGATGTCCCATCATTTCCTTTATTCAATTCCGCTCAGACTGGTCTTAATCTGCCAGCTCTGGGTCTTGGTACTGGTTTCTACGGTATGAACAACGAACCTTATGGCACGTATCCAGAATGTGGTGACGGGCCACACGATGATCCTCCCGGTCCTCCGCCACCAGGTTGCGGTCTTAATTCACAGAAAGCAGTGTATACGTGGTTGAGCAAAGCGGGCGGACTTCGACTCGATTGTGCCAATTCGTACTACAATCACCGGTATGTTGCTCAAGGAATCGAGCAAAGTCTCGTCGATCGATTTCAAATTTTCATTTTGAGCAAAGTCGGACCGACATTTGCTTTGGGCTATAATGAAACAATTGAGCAAACGCTGGATGTCTTGCAACAACTTCAGACGGGTTGGATAGACTTGTTGCTCGTACACTGGCCGACCATGCAACATCGCGGTCAAGTGTATGTACCAAAGAGTTCTGATCCAGCATGTAATACTACAAACCCACTTACATACAATGAAAAGATATGTCGCCTATCGACTTGGTCCGCCATGCTCGTATTATTCAACCTTGGGCTGGCTCGTTCTATTGGTGTATCAAATTATAATATCACACATTTGCAAGAAATCATTGATGCTGGTCTGCCGCTACCAAGTGTCAATCAAGTTTCGTTTCATCCGTACAATTATCGAACTGGACGAGCGGACTTGCTTGCATTTTGTCAGAAGAATCGTATTCAATTAGTAGCCTATTCACCCCTGGGAGTACCCGATGTACAACAGTTTCCGACCGAACATAAAAGCGAAGGAGCAACAGGTATGTCTCGTACATTGCTCGAAGATCCAGTCATTACTTCATTAGCCAAAGCCTATAATCGCACTCCGGCACAGATTTTGCTGCGTTGGATTCATCAGCTGGGCGTTGCATCGAATCCGCGTTCGATGAATGAAACTCACATGATAGAAAATCTCGATATTTTCTCGAATCCATTTACGATCAGCGACATCGACATGACTGCCATTGTCAATCTAGCTCAAGATACGTGCGACGTCGATCCAGACTGGTACCAATGTGTAGGAAATGGGAATTTTCCGTAACAATTCACTCTTGAATTTTCTCCATTATACGTTTCAAAACTTTCCAACATTTTGTTCTTTCGTACATAAATAGATCTTCTTCAAGGCAACATACTCTCTCAAGATATAAAAATATTGAAAGAAGTGGAAGAAATTCATTAATTCTTTGCTTTCACAGAGAATCAATAAACTAGAGAGGTGGAAGTTGCTTGGCATCCATTTGGAGATAGTAATTACTTTGTATAAAGCTCTACTTATCAAAAGGTTCTGCTTGCTCATTTGTCGGCATTTTCATCTCAAATCTTCTTTGTTCCTTATCAGTTATATCCATTTCTTTCTCTTTTTTCGAAAATCCCGCTCGATTCTTTCTGTATCTACGATTTTCTCTTGTTACTCACTCTTTCATTCGACGCTCTCTTGGATATCTATCTTGTGTTCAAATGGACCAGAGTGGATCCACCATGACTCTCAAAACGCTTCGAGCACGAATAGGGACATACGATTCACTTATCTGAGAGTTCAGAAGTCTTGAATAAATCATTGCATTTTGACTCGATTAATCTAGTCTTATCTCGCTCTTCGGGTCAGCAGTGATTAACGATGTGTTTCTTATCCTCGTGCTGTCTATGAGTGATAGGGTTTCTTGTTGTAAATGGATCGTAATTCTAACTGCAACGAAGTGACCAGATGCTTAACTTCTTCCTTTGTCTTTACACGTAATTGTCTGCCGAACGACGTGAAACAAACAACGACAATTTTCCAGCATCGAATATACGAGGGAAAAACCGATGTTTAGATGTTTTATTTTAACATAAATTGATCTAGTGCTATGCCATGCTGCTCATTGAATAATTGATAAAAAACAATCCCACGCATTTACATTGATATATGATGGGCAAGCAAATCTAAAACAATAGAATTCGCCAGATCTGTTTAACTCGATGAATGTAGTTTTTCTGCGTAGATGAATGTTATGTCCGATCGTTTTTCTAATTACCGAATTCTGCAACCTTCTGAGTAACAACAATACAGTACATTCTGTGTTCGTTTGGATCGCTCGAGAGATCAGAATCATCGATCCGTATGTCCCAATAGAATTAACTCTTGACTGATCGATAGCTGTTCGCGCATCGTTTGTGCATTATAATTACATATCACCGCTTTCCGAATATTCAAAATAATGTGCCATGATCGAAGATAGTAACGGGTTGGGCGGAGGAAATGGCAGCACTTTGCAATCAACATTTTTATAACGAGATAAACTTTATCTCAAAACAAGAACAGTGGTTCAATGCAGTAATTAAAATGCTGCATATTTATGAAAAACATTATTTTATGTAAGCACTTTAGTTATCTAAAACCTTCAAAGTACGAACGGGCCAAAAAGCGACTATGCTCGCGACGTTTTCTTTGCTACCAGTGCAATACATCTCTTCATTTCTTCCTGTAGTGTTCTATAATTATTTTGATTTTTCTCACGTA